CAAGGGCAGAGAGATGTGAAGAGACGCCAAGACCTTGGCAACTCTTCTAAAGGAAAAGGTTTAATTGGAGCTGGCTTACAGTTTCAAAGGTTTTGTCCATTATCATCAACAGCAGAAGAGAGAATGGCACTGGACCTGGCTTGAGCTTCTGAGACTTCAAAGCCCACTCCCAGTGACACACTTTGTCTAACAAGACCACACCTACTCCAAGACTACACCTCTTAATAGTGCTCCTCCCTATGAGCCTATGCGGACCATTCTCATTCAAACCACCACAGTCTCCATCTTAAAAATTGCAGCAATAGCAGAAATCCAAGCATAAAACCCCAGCCAATGGACAAAGTCCTCTTCAAGGATCTTTAGCCCCGATGTTCTGATAGATGGTTGGGTAAAGTGGTGAACTATATTGGTGTCTACTTTTGCACCCTGTAGAAAGTCCATTCTTACACCACTACATTCCACAACACTCCGAAATAGAATCTCAGAAAATTAAAATCCCAAACATTGAGGGGGTTATGTTGTTGTTATTGTTTAAGGTTTTTCTCTGTGTGTCCCTGGCTGTCCTGGGACTCACTGTAGATGAGTCTAGCTTCAAACTCAGAGATCCACCTGCCTCTGCCTTACAAGTGCTGAGAGTAAAGGCGTGTGCTACCATGTCTGGCTAGGTACTGAGTTACAATTGAAGGCTGCTTAGCGTCTGTTATCTTCTGGAATGAAACAACAATAATATAAAACTCAGGCACCTGCTGCTGTCAGACAATGGTCTCTACTTTTTTGTCTTTAAAAGACAGTCTCCGGTATCCCAGGCTAACCCTGAATTCACACTATAACTGAGATTAGCCTCAAACTCCAGAGAACCACAATAGCCAGTGTGTGCAGTGCTGGGAATTGAACCTATAAGGCTGTGGATGGTAGTTAAACTGTCTACCAACTGAGCTATATCATTAGCTTTCCATCTCTGTTTCATCCTTCTGAGCCTAGGATCGTACACTCTCGGGAATGTGAAAGGTGTCAGTTCCAGAATAGTGCCTTGATGCTGCTACTCCTTCTCGCCCCGTATAACAGTCAGCTCAGGGTCCTGACCCGAATTTCAGGCTCTTTGTCACATGAAAGGTCTTGAATATTCCTATCAGGGACACATAGACTATGAAAGTGATTCTGACCCCTGAGCTTTTAAGTAATTTTTCTTTGCTATACACTTGGACTTTTGCATCTTCATCCTTTTTGCTTGTTTGGTGTGTGTGTGTGTGTGTGTGTGTGTGTGTGTGTGTGTGTGTGTGTGTATTTGAGATAGTATTTCTATGTGTAACAGCCCTGGCTTTCCTGGAACTCCCTTGTAGACCAGGCTAGCCTTGAACTCACAGAACTCCACCTGCTTATGCAGGGATTAAAGGTGTGGGCCATCACTGCCCAACTATGTCTTCATCTTAAAGTCTTAACTCTCACCTGTCTAGTTCTCCTTGAGGATTCTGGCCAATAACACTCTTAGCTTTGCAGACTTCATAGGACCCTGCTCTTAAAGCAGCAGTGTACACAGGATTCTGTGGAGATCCTGCTTAACACAACATCTCACTTAGGTCTAGGTAGAGTCCAAATGTCTACAAGGCTGACTGCCTGGTGATGCTGAGGATGCTCTGTGGGAACACTGAGAAGCAAAGCATAAAGCTGGTTTCCAAAGAGAACCACGCAGTGTGACATGACATGCTCTTCCTATAGTTGCTATAGAACACATGGCATGCAGCATGGAAGGGAGATGGTGTGCCTACCTGGGCGTGAACTTCTTCTGGGGAAGCATGAACAAACTTCTCTTCCTCCTAGATAGGACTCTGACAACAGTTCAAAGAAACCACTCCATCCAAGCCTGTGTCAGTTGGACCAGTGAGTTTATCATGGTTGCTTCCAGGACCATGGGTGACTCAGGGCAGATGTGTCACTGAGCATCCCATCCGACTTGACTGATGACTCACAAGCTGCATTCCTGGAGTTCCCTGCAGGGAACTCAAATGGTCAGAGAGATTCTTCTCGCCAGTAGTTATTACAGCTTGTATAACCCTGGGAGGGACTTTGGGCATCTTGTACACTTCAGGAGCTTCCTACATCTAATAAGTTTCATTTCCTTTCTGAGTCTCCAGGAAAGAATGTTTCACTTGGGATGAAACAGCTGAATAGCAGAGGGAACGTGGAAGATGCACAGAAATCCACTTCCAGGAAGTGAATACGGTGTCGGTTTTGGCCAGTACCGGGCACTGGAAAGAAACCCATGGCATCTGGTAGTCTCAGGGCTGCACACATTATGGGGGAAATGAATCTGGTATCCAGTCCATCCTTAAGTAGTAAATCCAAATTTAGAGAGAGGTTCTAGCTGGTCGGACCTCCTGCTTTGGAGCCCCTTATGGTTCCTTCCACTAACAACACCCAGACAGTCTCCCTGGGCCACAACACACTCCCTGGGCTTGTCCCATAGATCCAGACCACATGAGGCCATTGACTCCTGCTGGTGTTCTGTTTGTGAGAATCAGGTGGTTCCCAGAGGCTGTACCTCTTCATGCTTAGGTTCCCTTTGTAGGAGGGACTGGACTCTTAGGTAACCAAAGAACAAGACAGAGGCAGCAGAAAATCCCAGTCACCTCTTCCAGAACAGGGAACTGCTTGAGAGCCATGAGCTGTAACTTGGGCCAGATGGACACTTCCGTAGTGTTCTTCACCTGAGATGTCAGAGTTAATTCACTGACAGAGCGAATGATATGGCTGTATTATACAGGGGGTGGGTGTGGCTTGTCTCTTAAAGGGACAGAACAGATCATTACACTCACCCATTGCAGGCAGAATTTTCTGTCCCGCCAGCCAGCTCCCAAATCACCACACAGAGGCTTCTTATTAAATAGAAAAGCTTGCTGATAGCTTAGGCTTCATATTAATTAGCTCTTATAACTTAAATTAACCCATTTTATCAATCTACATGTTGCCACACACCTCATGGCATTTACCTATCCTCTTGCATGTCTTACCCTCCTCCCCTGTCTGTCTGGAGACTCCACTCTTTTTCCCAGAACTCTCTCTCTTTGGATCTCCTCCTATACCTCTTCCTGCCTAGCCATTGACCATTTGGCTCCTTATTAAACCAATGACAGCAACACACCTTCACAGTGTCCAAAATGATTATTATAACAACCCAGCGCCGTGAGAACCTCTGGTGTAGCACCCGAAGCCAGCTGCTAAGGAGTTAGTGCCAGCATGCCTGTGTTTAGGAGTGCACTCACAAAGGTCTTGTCCAGCATCATCCATTATCTTACTTTTCAGGGGGTGGACGCTGGGCTTCCTGGTCCTTCCAGGAAGGCCTCATCTTTTGTTATTAAAGGCTCTGCCTCTCAGATGTCTGTTCCGCACAAAGGAGAAGTGTGTTTCCATCCCAGGTGGGTAATTACACCCCAGGTGCCTGAAGATTAAAGAGGATTGGGATGCTGCTGGGCGCTGGAAGCTCTTTTTATGAGGTGCGTACCCTTCCTGTGGCCATGGTGACAAACTTCGCTCTGGCATGACCATGAAGGTAGCTTGTCTAGGATATGCGTTCCGGGGCAGATGGGTAGAGGGAAAGCCCACAGCACAAGTGGGAATTATCTCATCCTGTGACTAAAAGGTTCTGAGGCTTGGAGAAGTTGCCAAGGTCATGCATGACTGTGGTAGGTGATATCATGTAGTGGGGACTCCAGTGAGTGAGCATGTGTGGAGGAGGCTAGAACACCAGAGAGACATTTTCTCTATAGCTGTATTAGTGACTCTCAAGGTTACCTATCTAGTCTTAAGAGACTGACTTGGGGAGAGACCTCTTGGTCTACTCCTCTCTTAAAGGTCCCATTGAGAATCTAATCTCCATGTAAGTTTGGGTGTAAATTAGTCATGTTCAGACCTCAGCGCTGTTATGAATACAGGGGCTATGTGTATATTCAGAGACATGGGGAAAGTGGTGGACATGTCCCCTAGCATAGCAAGGTTTCAGCAAAGAGGCATATCCCAGCTGTGTCCCAGCTGTATGGTGATGGGGGAGGCAAGGGAAAGCTGGAGTCTCAGGGAAGAGGAGAATAATGCTGACCCCACAAAGAGCTTCCTGCTGATGCCCTAAAATGGGGTGGCGGGGGGGGGGGGGGCGCTAGGCATTCCTTGAACTCAGAGGTAAGGGTCTCTGGGAGAGAGAGGCTACTGACCTCAGTGTGCATGGCTCATTGTTCTGCAAGAATCATTGAGGAGTTTGAATAGTGCATCCCCAAAACATCGCTGCTCTGCTGGTCACCCACCCACAAGTGTGTTCTGGACAACAGCCTGGGAAGCTAACCCCGGTCCCCCACGGGCTGAAGCCCCCATCGCTGTCTTGAAGCTCTCCATGTCTTTCTAATAAGAGTGTAAAGTTTCAGTTGCCTGAGAGCCTGCAAAAGGTAGCAGGTACCCGGGTTTGTGTTTACAGACAGTAATAACACTCACACTCCCACCACCCTACCTGTTTGTCTGTGTCTCTTGAAGACAGCGAGATGACGCTGACCACCCTGGACTATGGGCCTTTCCTTTCTGTTCTACCCTCAAGGGCCTCTGTCTGGGCTGAGGGAGGAGCCAGGGCCTCGGCTGCCCAGCCCTGTGTGCTGAGTTCTATGGGGTTTCACAGCCTACGAATGCCCTCTGAGAAGCCCACCTCTCTGAATGCTCATGGCTGCTGTTATTTTCTTCTACAGAAGAGATGCAGGATCCCCCTCCCCACCCATTCATGTTGGGAGCCCATTCCCATGACTAATCTGTTCAATTGAACTCAGTCCCTGTCTGGTATGTGGCTGCCCCTGAGTCCCACCCAGCAGTTTGCCTTGACTAGTGGCCTCCATCACTGAAGAAAAAAATATACCATCTTAATTCAATAGTCATGTGTGGTCACAGAAACGAATTGGTGCCATCCCTCAGACAGATTGCGGAGCGAACCTGGTCGTTCCTATAGTTGCTGCTCTGAAGGGGATAAAGTGTGGAATCCCAGAGTGCTACAGGTTGGTAACATCTGGTCACACTCAGGAACACCTGGGTTGGTCTATCTAACCGCCTGAGTGACAATATACTACTAATGGAGACCCCCACCACCACCACAACCCTGCCCAATCCCAGGATGGAGCCCAGAGCACCACTATGCCTTATCCCCAGTGTCACAGTCTGGTTAGACAGAAGACAATATCTTCTACCAGACCTGTGACTTAATTCTTAGACCAGGGGTGACCTGCTTCTAATCCCTTGAGGGGGGCAAGGGGATGATTCTCACGAGCTGGGTCACTCCAGTGTGCTGGCAATGGATTTTCTTTGTTACTCCGATGTGTGATGAGGCAGGAGGCATGAAAAGCCACACAAGTCTGACTTTGACATTGGTCAGTGAGTTTTCTGTGACCCTGTTCAGAAATGAAGTCTGAAGGATAGAAGGGCTCCCAGTCTCAGCTGGTCCAGGAAAGCGATGGGCATTTTGGGATGATGTTAAAGTGCGCAAGCTCAAGGACCCTTTCCAGTTCCAAAGCCCTCTGTCTCTGCTCCATGATGAAGATTGGTGCCAGATTCCTCCAGCTGGCCCAACTTCCATGGCAACCGCTGACCCTGGAGGTTTGGTTTCAGATGGGAGCTGCCCGAGGAGCTTGTCTTCATTACAGAACATGATCCCTCAAGTCTTCAACCCAGCAATTATGGGTCTTGATTCCAAACTGGAATTTAATCAATACTTGCTCGTTAGGGCAAGTGTCTACCGGCATCTGCTGAGCCTAGCAACTAAAGTATTTATGACCAGACAAACCTGTTTTCACTGTCCTCTGTCATTGCTCCATCTCAGGCAGACAGCCATGCCTCAGACGGAAAGCTAAACCATTCTGAGCACAGTCTGCAGAAACTGTATTCCAGTAATCCCAAAGGAACAGAGATTCTAGGAGCCGAAAGCTCATATCACAAGGTAATCGTTCTTCCTCCAGTGCACACTTTCACCTCTCAGACCTGTGGTGGGTTCACTGTGAATTTCTTCACTCTCTACTGTGGGCATTGTGACTGGCACAAGCATTGTTGGGGAACCGGCATGAGGTTTGAACAATGTTTTTCTGTAAGGACATCACCTCTGGGAAGGAGCTAAGGCACACACCAAGCACAATCCACCCAACAGCTTGCTTAGTCTCTCTCCTTCTCTCGCCTGGAAATCCCCTGGGGAGTGTCTCTCTGGTTCATGTGTCTTGGTCTTAGGCACGTTCTGCATTTGGTTGCATTTAAAACTCTACTATTGAAAGGCATCAGTGACCGCGTCCCCCAAAGACACTCAGCACCAATCAGATCCTCTGGCTTGTCCTAATTCCATTCTTCCCACCCAGTATGAGCAGTCCCATTGATAGCTGAGCCTCTTCATCCCACTGATGCTGGTGTCATCACATACAGTCGTCCCATGTTGCTTCTGTGCCCACTGTCCCTACAGCTGTTGGGAGTGTGTATGGACTTGCTTCTCCTCCCCTGGCACCCGCAGTACCCAGAAAAGTTATTGATGTCAATGCTGGCCGCCACATGGCTATATTGGAGGTGGAAAGGCTAGGGATAGAGCAATAGGACTAACAGGAAGAAGAATGGGAAATCCAGGCCACTGCAGATGCCAACCTCTGGGCCACTCTAGAAGAAACAGAGAGTTCTTGTAGAGAGATCCCCTCACAGGGGATGCTGGTGGGTAGAAACAGTCTAGACCTGTGGTGATTCTTTGATGGTTGTATATGTTTGTTCATAATGGATTTCTGGACTAGATTAGCCTTGAACTCGCTATGGAGCTGAGGGTGACATTGAAATTCTGATCCTCTTCCCTCTACCTTTTGAGTGATGGGATTCCAAGTGTGTGCCAACTGATTTGCGTGGTCCTGGGCATCTGAACCAGGTCTGGGTGCTGGCTAGGCAATACTGTATCAAGTCTGGGTGCTTACTAGGCAACACTGTATCAGAACTCTGAGAGTGCTACGTAACATTTATCAGGCCTGGATGCATTCTAGGCAACATTGTACCAAAGGAACTCCATTCTCAGGTCCTGAGCTTTGTGTTTAAAGAGTTCTTCCCCAGGAGTCTCACTCTCACCCAGGTTTAGGAGGAAGCTGTGGCCCCTTTGAAGTCAGTTCTTTTTCTGACTTCAGTGGCTACCACTCCATATGCAGACCCCAGGATTATGGTGGTCTCAGCCAGTACACTGGAATGGGAAGGATGTTCTGGCGGACTTGGGCACATGTTGGGAGCACCATTGCCCTACAGGCATGGGACCAGCATAGGGTATTCTACTCTATGACAGCTGTAACCTTGGGTTTCTGAAGACATGGATCAGAAGTTAAGGGGCTCATGAACACATTCTCAGGGAGGCATTGGTGATTCAAGACAGAACCCTGGGGAAGCAGGGTCAGGAATGCCCTCAGTCTCTACCTAGTCTGAGCCTGTGTCACAGCACACACATCACAGTTTCAGCATCATGGGGGTGACAGAAAGTTCCCCTGGAAAGAAAAATACCACGTGGTGGAACCATCCCAGAATCAGCTTGTCCAGTGTAATGTAGCCCCTCTGTCAAGAAAATCCAGCCGTTTCTATAGCAATGTCTGGAGCAACCAATCTGTTTGGGCTGCTGTCACAAAACGCCATGGGCTAAAGTGGCACAACCTCCCTTGTCACTTCCTCAGAGACTGGTAAGTCCCCAAATTTTATTGCATTGTGGTGATCTCTCTCTCTCTCTCTCTCTCTCTCTCTCTCTCTCTCTCTCTCTCTCTCGTTTCTCCCTGTGGCTCATATAAAGACAGAGGGAGTTCTGCCCCCCTTCCTTTTCTTATGAGGATGCTATGAGGGATCCCCTTCCACGACATCATCTAAACCTGATTGCATCCTGTGGGACCCACCTTTGGTTATCATCACATTGTAGATGTGGGCTTCAGCATGTGATCGTGAGGTGAGACACACATCCAGTCCATACAACTCTCCATCTGTGTTATTCACTGCCAGAACTTCCTAGGCATGTCCACAGAGCTCATCAGAAGACATGGAGATTCCATTTGAAACCGTGGACTCTGATACCTACTGTATATGTTTGCCTGCAAAGGGAGACCCTTCTTTCTGGTCTACAAGGGTCTTTCCAGGTGAGTTTTTGGAGCATCACAGGGAATTATAATGGGTATATAAGTCTCCTTAGTATATGGCCAGAGGGCTTCTGAAAACCCACAAGGACTTAGGTTCAAGTACTGGTTTGGTCTGAGTTCCCAGGACCATGACCCTGGGATATAGGGCACTTGTGATTAGGTTGCAACTGTACTGAGTTGGATGGGACAAGGACAAAGGTAAGGGGTTGCATGAATGAACACACACACACACACACACATACACACACACACCAAAGCAACTGGGTCATAGCCTCTATCATAAACAAAGATGTGCACAGAGATCCAGCACCTTAGCAGGTGTACACCTGTGCACTCTCCAGTCCACGGTAAGCTGTGACTACCCATACATCTCATCAGCTAGTGAGCCAAAAGTCAAATATGGAATGCATTGTTTTGTTCTCTTGTATTACTTTTCAAAAATGACTAATTGGTCACTTGATCCAGTTCCTTTGGCCCCAGGACCTTGGCCTAGGTAACACATGATGAGGTCACTTCCCAGGGTTGTCCAAGGTTGACAGGAAGCAAAGTAAAACACACCTGTCTTCAATGCACTGTCACAGGCAGACAGTTGGGTATCACGTGCCCATTACAGTTTGGAGCTGAAAAGAACATTCTGGAATGAATGCCCAACTTCAGCCAATTGACCTGAGATGCCCAGCCCTTGACCTGTGTTCAAGCCACACAACCCTTTCTTCGGTACAGTGTCTTGAGTTCAGCTCTCTGCTTCCTGTTCTGGTGCTTTTATACATATTGCTGGCATTTCCCAAAGACCTCCCCTTTTCCTTCTGCCCTCATGGCTTCCTCTCTTATTCTCCAGCTCTGGAGTAGCTTCGAGTTGTTGGTAGAAGTCCCTGACTGCTCTGATGGCCAAGCCCTTCTCAAAACAAATACCTTTCTCTCAGCACCATCTCAGCACCTCTTCCTGTCATTTCTGGGGCAATTTGATTGGCACTTGTCCCTCCTATTAGAAGAGTCATGCAAAACAAAATGATGTCTACCCAAGTCTCATATGTGTCATCGATTTCTTTCAGACCGCAGGAGAGGAAACAGAACAATAAAGGGACACAGTGACCACCAGGGGCCACACCACAGTTTGCTTTATTGGTGTCTAGCACATGGTAAGCATGGAGCTAATTGGTTCATGCCCTATTTAGTCAGCACTGTAGCCAACCCCAGCTACAGCTACATGCAGGGTGAGTATCTTTCATCGGAGATGCTTTCAACTGGAATAGAGTTCATCTTTTTCAAGACTTTAGAACATTTTCATATTCATAATAAGAAATCTTAGGGATGGGACTCGAGTTCAAATGTGAAATTAATGTAGGTGTCAAATCTCAGCCCATCCAATCTTTTGACGTCACAGTACGATGCTGTCAGGCACAGATGTGTTAGGCTACATTCATAGCTCTCCTGGGATGCTTGCAGCCTGCCGATCACAGGGTGGACACAACTATACTCTATCTATATGCATAGCCAGAAGGAAATGACATTCTATACTTTGTTGAAATAGGAGCGGCGGCAGGGCTGCGTCCCCGGCACCCGGCCGCCCGCATGGCTAGCTTATGCCCGAAATAATTACACGGAAACTGTATTCTTTCAAACACTGCCTGGCCCGGCTTGTTCCAGCTTCTTATTGGCTAGCTCTTACATATTGTTCTAACCCATTTCTAATATTCTGTGTAGCCCACGAGCTGGCTTACCAGGGAGGATCTTAACCTGCGTCTGTCTGGAGCAGGAGAATCATGGCGACTCCTCAACTCAGCTTCTTTTTCCCAGCATTCTCTTCTGTCTACTCCGCCTACCTAATTTTCTGTCCTATGAGGGCCGAGGCAGTTTCTTTATTATTACAAGACCCACCTCCATCAATACTTTCAGTGTGCTCTGCCTAGGGCCACATGAAGGGGTAGTTTCCTGTGTCTCTGTCTAGGTGCCTTGTTCCTTAGAGCAGGAGCAGCTTGTAGAAGGACAGAATGGAAAGGTTCAAGGAGCAAGGCAAGACGTTAGGAGGAAAGACATCCTGCTCTGTACGATTTGGGGCTTTGCCTTGGTATTCTGTTCTCGAGAAGACAGGCCCTGCTGCCCACAGTGCCAGCCTCCCACAGTGCAACCCTTTTTACTTTCCACCTTGGTAAATGTTCTTACTCCTTCAAAAGGCTTCCTGGAGCCACCTCCCAAATAAACTACACACACCCAAAGACCCAGGGATCCAAACTTAACCAAAAGAGAAGATCAGTGAAGTGACCTGGCCAAGTTTATATGGCAGTAAGTGGTGAGGCTAGGATCCGAGTTCAAGGACCTATTTCACCCTGGCCTGATTCCAGCAGCGTGGCTGAAAGTGTACCCTCTAACAAGTAAGCCACCACAGACTGGTAAAAGGATGGACCCCCATAGCTGTCTCAGCATAAGCCCCCAAGTCTGTGAATGTGTTGCCAGGTAGAAAAGGAGAATTAAGGCTGTGGGTAAGGCTAATGTCACTTTTCATATGACTCTAAGAGGAGGTTATCTTTCGTTGGATTTGCTGACAGAGGAAGGGACCAGGAGCTGAAGGATATAGTGGAAATGCTACATTACTGGGCTGCCCTAAAAGATTGGAGGAACCATGGTCCTGCCAACACACATGGATTCTACCTTCCAATGTACAAGATAATATGTTCGTGCAGACATGCCACCATGACTGATGTGCGATCTTCACAGTCGACTTGACTAGATAGAGAATCACCATGGAAACGCACTTCTGTGACGGAGTTTCTACAAGGGGTGAGTTGAGGTAGGGAGACCCACCCTGAATGTGAACTGCACCATCTCACGAGCTGGGGTGACTGAATGAAAAAGGGACGAGCAGGGAAGCCAGTACCGGTATTCACCCCTCTCTCCTTTCTCACTGCAGATGCAAAGTGACTGGCTGTTTCATGCCAAGATGGGCTGTGCCCTCAAACTCAGACCTAGAATAAATGCTACTGTCCTTAAATCACAGCAAGGAAAAAGAGTGACTGATACCGGCACTAGCGTGTGGCACTTCCTTGGGGCCAGCCGTGGGAGCCTAGCACCCTACCTGGGTTTTTGTGGGTGAGGCTCAGATTCGGTTTTTATGGTTTCTCATGCCCATTATCTGCAGAAGATCTTGGCAATGTTTACGGACGCTGGGGAGATGAACTTTCTTCTGAAGACTCACACCTGGTGTTTTAAGTAGTCACAGCATCTGTCTTTCCCAGCATTCCCAGCTGGGCACAGAGCTGTGCACAGCCCGGGGGGAGAGGGGTCTGCACCCCCTGGATGTGGTCTGATGAACTTGCACATCACAGAAGCTTCCGTCTCTCCCCTCCCCCTCCCAGACAGCACATAATTACCCCTCCGCTCCCAGCAGCTCCCACCTAGGAGGCGAAGGAGCTTGCCAGCACAGAGCTTTCCTGCCTAGAATGGCTCCCACCTACGTCTTTCACAAACAAGGCGCATAGTCAACCATTATGAAAGGAAAAACAAAAACAAACAAACAAAAAAAAAACGAAACCCAAGCGATTATTCGTGAAGGGCCAGAATTTTAATAATACAGTAGGAGAATTGTCCCTAGAGGATAGCTGCTAATATGAACAAGAGCTTGCCTGATTGTTTGGGGATCAGAAAGGGACAATTTTGAGTAGTAAACTTTAGAAATTCAGCCCAAGGAGAGGACACCTTGCCTGGAGCTTAAGGTGAAACTTTGGGAAGTTCACAGAGAGCCTGAGAGAGTTCCTAGGGTAGGGAACACCACAGGGACTGGCTCCAGAAAGGTCAGAAGTCCTGAGCGTCCCTCCCCAGCTTCCAGGGGCAGAAGAGGACAGAGGGTAGGAGGAGAATGTCATGTGGTGGGAGAGGGTGAGAAGGAAGCGCTGACTGTTTCATGTTGGAAGGTGAGCTTAGAAGATCCGGCCATTCACTTAAACCCATTCTAATGATCACCCTCTGAGCTTTAAGCATTGTCCTTGTTATCTGACATGGAAGGATGAACCAGGCCCCGGGGAGTGGAGTGCTGCCCACAGAATAAGAAATGAAATAAATGGCAAAACCCTGGAATGTGCTCAGAAATAACAGCGAGCAGGGGGTGATGTTGGGGTTGTTTGCCCTGGGAAATGACAGGTCACTGGGCATATCTAGCTGGTACCCCCCATGTGCCCTCTTTCTCTTTTCTCCCTCTCTTGCCCTCCCCACCTCTCCCAGGTTCATTATGGACCCGTCCAGATGCCTCTGGCTCTACTCTCCCTCACATCTGCAATAAAAACCTCCTCAACCATACTTGGAGTGGTTATGTCCTCATTTTCAGTCAGAATCTGTCCTCTTGTAACTTTATTCACTGTGTTCTTTTTCTAAAAGTCCTTTTTTTTTTTTTTCCTACCTTGGGCAGTACCTCTGCCTGGCATCTTCTCCTAGCCACTGGACTATAGAGTTAAGGGTTATTCAGTAACCCTGGCAATTAAAGCTTGGTGTCCCAAAGGGGCCTGTAAAGGCTGGAGGGTTAGGTGGTCCAGCAAGTAGCCTAAAAGGCATACTGGAACGGCTAGCTGGAAGTGGTAAAAACTTGAAGGGTACCCTAGACAGGGTGGATAATGTAGGGATGCTGGAGAGGGGTACCAAATGGGATGGAAGGAAGATTAAAGCCACAGGCTAAGACAGGGACCTGCTACAAGGCCATGCATAGCTGATAAGGGATGAACTTGCTGAACATTTTTGTCTGTAAATAGAAGCACCTCATCCCTGGAGACCTGGAGAAGAGAGGCCCACCAGTTGGTAGCCAACAGCATATCTGTTAAGGGGACTCACAGAAGTGTGGAGACTGCTGTTGTGGGAAAATGCTTTTGTATACTGTAAAGATTTGTCACTTATATTGGTTTAATAAAACACTGACTGGCCAGTAGCCAGGCAGGAAGTATAGTTTGAGCAACCACACTAGAAGAATTCTGGGAACAGGAAAGGCAGAGATGGAATCACCAGCCAGACACAGAGGAAACAAGATGAGAATGCCTCTCTGAGAAAAGGAACCAAGTCATGAGGCTAAACATAGACAAAAATTGTCGATTGCCTTGGGTGGGCTACTCAGTCTAGGGGTTTGTAACCCACCCTGCAATCAGTTATTCCAGGGTCACAGAGGGGCGCTACCTGGAAGGGAATGAGCTAAGACAGAAGAAGGAGGCCAAGCAGATTTGTCAAAGCCTCCGTTTATTAGGGTCATGGTTGCTGCTTATATAGGCCCTGCATGAGGACTTGGTGGGCAGGGCATGGGATGCGCGTGGTCCCGGTCACGTAGGCCAGGTTACATTCGGACGGGTAGGTCAGAAGTCACAAGTTGCCACACCTAGTTCCCTGGATAGCTGGAATGTGAGGCGGGTTCCGCTAACAGATTAATAGTTAATTGGGTGAGGGGCAGGTTTTCTCAATAGAACATAATTATGGGTGTGGGGTTCTCTGCAGACTCCCTAGGGTGATGGTTTCTGTAATGATTTTTAGAGGGGAAATGGCTCCTGACAAAAAATCATGGCTAATTTAGTTGTAAGAGTTAGTTAATAATAAGCCTGAGCTAATAGGCCAAGCAGTTTATGATAAATATAAACATATAAACACATATGATGAATATGTGTGTTTCTTTGGGACTGTACCAGCCATGGGACTGGGTGGGACAGAAACTTCCATCTATAGACTGCCATGCCAAGGATATGCAGGGAGAATCTGGCAGGTAGCCAAGGTGGTGGTGAAATGACTAGAATCCAAAATTTGCCCCTTGACCTGCAGGCTCAAGAACACATAGAGACCATAATGGCAGTGCTTTAGCATGGAGGGGCTATATCTGGCACTCAGGTGAGCTCTGAAATTCTCTGTGCAACCTAGGAAGGAAAAGGCTAGCTCTCTGCTCCCGGGTGGCTTCCTGGATGCTGCTGACCCTGGTTGAAATTACAATGGTCTCTTTAGGTGGTAGTGTGCCTGCTCTAATTTAAGGTTTAAAATAGTAAGATTATACTTCTAAGCTCCAGCTGAGTCCTGTAAGAGTTCAGGCTTTGAGGATCCATTCCCATGTGCATATTTACATATGCATTAAGGAGCTCCGTACTTTCATGATTTATGTTGTTGGAAATTCTAAATGGTTACTGGGGGTTTTAGGGTAAAAGTCTGGGCTCTGGGCTCAGTCTGGAGTGATGGCTCAGGGGTTAAGAGCACTGACTGCTCTTTCAGAGGACCCTGGTTTAATTTCCAGCACCTACATGGCAGCTCACAACTGTTGGTAACTCCAGTTCCAGGGGACCTGACATCCTTCCACAGACTTACATGCAGACAAAGCCCCAGTGCACATGAAATAAAATAAATAACTTAAAAAAAACATTTTCAAAAAGTTTGGGCTCACCGGGCGATGGTGGCGCACGCCTTTAATCCCAGCACTCGGGAGGCAGAGGCAGGCGGATCTCTGTGAGTTCGAGACCAGCCTGGTCTACAGAGCTAGTTCCAGGACAGGCTCCAAAGCCACAGAGAAATCCTGTCTTGAAAAACTAAAAAAAAAAAAAAAAAAAAAAAAAAAGTCTGGGCTCTAGTAGTTCCAACACGGTAGGCTCCTCCACCTGTCCCTAGGGTGCCCATTTAAATGTCAAGTGATGAGAAAATATAGAGAAAGGAGATTTCTTCTATATGGCCACATGGACAAAAGGAACAAATGAAGAGGTCCAATGGGTGCCCATCTGACCTCCAGAGGCAAGGTCTGAGCTTGACCTTGCTCATGAGAGGGCAAGAGCTCTCCATGGACAGTGCAGGTCAAAGTGTGGTTGGCCCATCAGTGACTCAGCATTTTCTTTCCGGCAAGGTGGTCTGATAAATGTCAGAACCATGAGAAGTCTCCTCCCCAGTGACCTGTTCTCCCCTGGCTGCTCCCAGACTTCAGCTCTTCCCTTCTCCCGGCATGAGGTTCCTGGAGAAATTCTCATTTGAGAGGAGACTATCGTTTCAAAAGTCAGATAGACTACTGGAAGCCACCGTCTTCTTTTAGAATCCCCACTACTGCCACCACTGTCCCCTGGCAGAGCCCTTAGGAAGTAACCTTAAACATTATACCCTGTAGTGAGTTAGCTTAAATCAACTTTAAAGAAACAAAAGTTGGACTCAAGCGTTCCAAAGGACGGGATCTGATAGAAATTGGGGTCTATAAGCAGGTTGGTGGCCAGTGAGATGACTCAGTGGGTAAAGACCCCTGCCACCAAGCCAAAGATCTGGGCTTGATCCCTGGGGTCTACGCAGTGGCGGGAGAAACCGGATTCTGCAGGTTGTTCTCTCACGTCCACTCGTGTGCCATTGCACACAACTCCCCCCAATAAATACATGAATATAGTAAAACAAGCTCACAAGTTTGGCTACAAGCACAAATTTAAATGAACCTAAGGCCAGGCGGTGGTGGGGGCACACCCCTAATCCCAGCACTCATATCTCTGTGAGTTCAAGGCTAGCCTGGTCTCTACAACTAGTTCCAGGTCCGCTAGAGCTACACAGAGAGACCCACCTTGAAAAACACAAACACAAAACAAAACAAAAATCCTAAAGCCAAACTTTAAGCACAAGCGTATGCATCTGTGAACAGACTCATGATGAATTTTGAAATATTTGTAAGCTACTGGTTGAGAGCAAGCAAGCGCCCCCATGTGCTCCCCGGACGAGGCACTGTGAGGAACATGAAGAACCCAGTTCAGCTTCCCCCAAAGTTAAGCCAAAAAGGATTTATTTTCCAAGTTGAAATAAATTTTCCTTGTGTTTCTTGTAGAAAAGATTTTGGCTCTGGTTCAAGGCAATTTCATTCTTTTAAAACAAACATGTCTGAATAAGGCGGAGCCAGGACCTAAGCCGTGTGGATTAGCTGAGCCCATGCTCCACCCCTAGGTTCTCCTAGAGCACAGAGGTCACCTCGGACACAAGAGTTTCTCCCCAGGGCCTCACTGGTGCAACCCAGAGTTGGTCTGGTTTCTTTATAAGAAAGATTGGTGCATCCCAGTGGAGGAAGGGCTGCTTAGGGCTGGCTGCAGAGTGAGGCCGGCAGACCAGTTTGTCCTGACGAACTTCCAGGAACTTCACCAGGCAGAGAGAAGAAAGAATTGAGAGAGAGAGAGAGAGAGAGAGAGAGAGAGAGAGAGAGAGAGAGAGAAACCAAGGCCAGTGGCAGCTGGGAGAAACCAGCCAATCAGGTTTCCAGTGTCTTCACCAGAGCTTGAATAGCCAAAAGATTTGGCAGGGGCTTCTGAGGGAGAGTAGAGAGGAGCCCCCCCCCCCCCCCCCCCCGCCCCCTTCCTCCAGCGTTCCCCAGGGACAGGATGGAGGCTGCAAGGGGTTTGTGCCTGTAGACAGTTCACGTCTTCTCACTGTTCCTTTCTCTCCATGGCTTTTTTCATGTTCTGTGGAAGGATCAGTAAATGATAAACACTGGTAAACTAGAGCCTCTTTTTTTTTTTTTTTTTTTTTTTGAGACTGGGTTTCTCTATAAAACAGTGCTGGCTGTCCTGGAACTCTCTCTGTAGACCAGGCTGGTCTCGAACTCACAGAGATCTGCCAGCCTGGGATTAAAGGCATGCTCCACCACCACCACCCAGCCTCTTGTTCTGCTTTTGTCTTTGAGACAAAATCTCTTATAGTTCTGGCTGGTTTTGAACTCACTAGCCAAACATGACTTTGGTCTCTACCTCCCAGTGCTGTGATTACAGGCGTGAGCACCATGTTGAGTTTATGTGAGGCTGGGGCTTAAAATCAGAGCTTCCAGTATCAGCAACTCTAGGCAAGCATTAAGCTGCACCTCTAATCCCAAACTCAGGCCCTGAAAGGTGAATTCGGGGGACGTGTGCCACAAAGAGATGAAACAGCTTTTAGATTCAAAGTGGTCCCGCGACACCCGCTGTGGCTAGGACAGTACTTGATAGTACGTGAGACTCCTGTGTTCTTCTTTGTCTCTCAGGAATGCAGAGCCACAGGTGTTCCCAGCAGCACAGCCTGGACTTTTGGATGGAGCTTCTTGACGTGCTTCCCTCGGGTGTGTCCAGTGAAGAAATGAAGGGCAGGTGTCACCCTGTTTACAAGTGAGTAACCTAGGCACGTGCTCAAGGCCACTATCCTAGCTTGGTTTCTATTCCCGTGAAAAACACCGTGACTAAAAGCAGTTTGGCTTATTCCATCTTACAGTCCAATGACTAGCCAACATTTGAATATGTTTTGTATGTATATGTGTGTAGGGTGGTGTGTGTTGTATGTGTGTGTCTATGTGTGCATGTGTGATATGCACAAGTACTTATGTGTTTGAGTACTTATGGTAGCCAGAGGATGGAGTCCAATGTCCTATTCAAAGGGTCTCCAATTTAGATATTGAGGCAGGGTCTCTCATTTGAACCCAGCGCTTGCCAATTATAGTCTAGCTAGCCTGCCTATTCTAAAATCTCCTGTCTCTACCTCCTGAGCCCAGGAATTACGGACTGGTGGTCATGCTCACTCAGCTTTTATGGGGCTACTAGATCTGAGCTCTGGGCTTTGTGCTTGGGTGGCAAGTGCTTTATGCATTATGCAATCTCCCTAGCCCGTCACTTGAATTTTTTTTTTAAAAAAACACTTTTATATTTATTTTTGTTTTATGTGTATGTATCTTCATACCTGAGTATGTGCTTGCGCGCGCACACACATGTCACTTACATGCCGGAACACATAGATATCAAGAGAGGTGTAAGATCCCCTGGAACTGAGCCAGGCAGTGGTGCCGCACACCTTTAATCCCAGCACTTGAGAGGCAGTAGCAGGTGGGTCTCTGTGAGTTGGGGGCCAGCCTGGTCTACAAGAGCTAGTTCCAGGACAAGCTCCAAAGCCACAGAGAAACCCAGTCTCAAAAACACAAAAACAAAAACAAAAACAAAAAAAAGATCCCCTGGAACTTGAGGAAGAAGTTATAAGCTGCTGTGCCGGTCCTGGAAACAGAATCCTGTGAGGACACTCAGTGCTCATAATGGCTGAGCCATCTCTTTTGCACTTGAATATTTTTAAATATTTATTTTTATTAGTGTTTGTTTCTCTCTCTCCTCGTGAAAATAATCTATTCTCAGAACTTCCTCAGGCATTCTCTCAATCCTGTCCTCTGACATCCGGCTCTCTGGCTCCTACTCCGCTGTTTGTGTCTGGCTGCTTACCACGCAGGCAAAAATGCCACCATGCTCCGTAAGAACATGAAGGCTTGAACCTCTGTGCTCTCTGAGTCCTCATGCTTTTCTAGAGGAATTGCCCTGTGTGAAAGTGTTCGCGTTTGCCCATCAGTGAGTTAGAACATCTTGCTTGGACTCGGGATATAAATGCTTGGGGAGAGCTGGCCCCCTCCCTGCCGTGAGGTAAAGAAGCAGCAGGCTGACCCTACAGCCAGAGCTGCTGAGTATGTTCCCAGGGAGAAAGCAATAGTGAAGTGTGGCAGGGAGCTAAGGCACTGGAGGACTTCGGTCAATTGTTTAGGTGACTAATTGTTTAGGTGACTCAAGGAGAGCTGAAAACTAAGGCATAAGGAGGAACCAAAGAGGCCATGGGACAGATGCCCTTGTGCAGATGGGAACAAGGGCCCAGCATATCCTGGCACTGGGTAGAGGCTCCAGGTGTCAGGGCAGGAGGAACTGGGGGAGGATGCTAAGTGGACTCCTTGCCAACCAGCCCTACACCCCAGTGCCCTGGACTCTGCTTAGTCCTGTCTAAATAGCACTCTTCCCAGACCCGTCTGTTTCTCTGATCTCAAGCTCCACGCCAGTTGCTTTCCACTACTGCTATTTTTCTTTATTTTTGTTGTTGTTTTTGTTTTCTTTGTTGTTTTTGTGGTTGTTGTTGTTTTTGAGACAGGGTTTCTCTGTGTAGCCCTGGCTGGCCGGGAACACACTCTGTAAACCAGACTGGCCTCGAATTCACAGAAATCTGCCTGCCTCTGCCTCCTGAGTGCTGGGACTAAAGATGCTCCACTTCAAAGAAGCTTGCACTTGTTCCTCGGGTCTTCCATAGGTGACCCTATTTGAAGGCTCTCTAGAGCAGGCACACGACTCGGCTTTCTCTAGACTCCAACACATCTGTCCCAGCCTGAGCCGTCTGTATTCAGAACACCCTTCACACTGCGGTCTGTCCACACGCTAGACGGCTTCTGAGGAACTGAGTGAAGCAAGCGGAGCACTGCCAACAGAATCCACCAACTCCACGCCAAGGAAGAGGAGAAGCAGAGATACTGCATGTTGTGGGACCCAGAGGTGTTGAGTTACAACAGGAACTGGCTGAAAGGTATCTTTCTGAGTGATGAAACTATTCTTTCAGGGGTGAGGTTGAACCCCAGACCGCATACATGCTAAACTACGCGTGTGCTCACCAGCAAACTACATTCCAGCCCTTGGAATGTTCCCAAATTGGATTGCAGGGATAGTTACACCATTCTGAGAAATTTATGTAACACCTTTGAATTATGCAGTTGTGTGTATATATGAAATGTGATAAGATTTATGAT